GCTGCATTGGAGATCAACTCACGCAAAAAGACCTGCTTGTCTGTGTACAACGAGTTGATGATGATATCCATCAAACGGTTCACCTCAGCCTGAAACTCATGCTTCTCTGATGACTCAGCCATCTTGGCCCTGTCATTGTCACTGAAGCCATCGACCACCTTCTCAGCCTCAGCCTCTGCCTCTTCGGCACCGACCAAGCTGCTGCCTCCAGACTGTTCTTGTTTGAAGGGTCTTTGGTTGAATCAGTGTGTCTCTGATTGGAAACAAGCTCGAAAATGAACGCAAGCCTGCTGCCACTAAGGCCAAGAATGCCCACACTCGAACCATGACCTAAGTAAATGACCAAACAACTTGTCTTGCTTGAAAGAGAGAAAGACACAACTTGGACATACTTGCACACATGTCGCTGAGCATCTGGCAGCTTGTGGCTTGTGGGAGGACTCAGACAGGGTTGTTCTGAGCAAAACCTTTGAGCCCCAAATGCCCATGCAGCAGTGCCTTTTCCTCGTGTTCGTGCAGCAAAGGGAGTAAGCTCTAGCTAGTTCTGCGACAGCCATGTTTGTGCAAAGCAGACACCGAATGCCCCACATGCAAAAGAGCAGATCTCTTCATTTGGCTTATTTATCTTCTGTTGTAAACAAGAAAAAGAACACAATAAACCGCAGGACACGCGAAGCCGACAAGAGCTAAAGAACACAACAAAAGAACAATGGTCGTTGTTCAGGCCCATTGGGGTTGTGGTCAACAAGCCTTTTGAAATTCTTGCAAACACCTTGCGCCGGACAACATTTCTTTCTGGCATGAGCCATTCTGTTTAGTTCCCAGTGGGAAGTCTTTTATCTCTCGGTTGGAGACTACATATACATCGAATTGACTGGAACAACCCAAAATTGATGAGTCGATGAGGTGTTCGGTGTTCTTCACAAATGCTACGTTTCGCATTTGTTTCACCGTCTGCAATGTGAGAGCTTGTTGAAATCAACCAATCATTATCATTATATAATGAGTACCAAGTGTTGGTTGCTGAAGCCAAATCGAATATCTCTCACCAGTCACTTGCAGGTCCTCCTGTTCCCATCTCCAGGGCTCAGTGGACAAATGAAGACTCCATCTACAAATCCTCCTTTTCTTCCTTGGCATCATCTTCGCCCTCATCACCATCATCCTTGTCCTCCTCTTCAGGTTCCTCTTCGTCTTCAGGCACCTCAATCTCCTTCAGCGGAGCATCTGGATTCACACCAAGCTCCTTAGACATGAGTTTGTACACGTGGCTAACCAGGGCAGATGGGTCTGCAATCTCATAGCC